TCGTTGATTTAGTTACATTAGCCATCAACACGCGTTGGTAATAATAGGTGGATATCCAAAATTTAACTCGAGTTAAGATTGGTACGCTGGTTGGATTGGTAGGGGGGAACGGATATAGACAGTTTTTGTGATACCCCATAAGATCGCTAGTGGGGGGAGGAAAACGCGTGGCAGTTAGGTACCAGACATTATTTTTTTTTCGACAGAAGGTCGACATTTGTCTCCTTTGAATTTTAGGTGGGTTGATTTCTCTGTTTTATTATTTTTTCTTGTTTAAAATTTTTTTTTTTTAGATATATTGTTGCATTTTGGTGCGGATTTGCGATTGGTTTTTATACGAACAGGTGATCACAAGATACCTGCGCACAGGTTTTGGTTTCAAGTTGCTTGGAACATAGAAAAAGAGGTAATTCAAAAAGGGGGGTTAGCATTTGGCCATTAAGAGAGGGTTTTTGGGATTTTCACTAGAGCTTGAGTGGTGGTACAAGGTACAGCGAATCAAGAAGTCCCTACAACGAAGAAGAAAGAGATCCGATATCCAGAAACTCAGTGACGAGTCTTGGGACAGTACCGAAGAAGTCTTGGGACATTGCAGTCTGGGGACAGTCTTGGGGCAACACAGTCTTGGGACAGTGCAGCCTTGGGGCAGTCTTGGACCAGAGCAGTCTTGGTACAAAATAGTCTTGGGCCATTGGTCTTGGGACGTTTGTCTTGGGCCATTGGTCTTGGGACATTGGTCTTGGGACATTAGTCTTGGGACGTTGGTCGTGGGCCATTGGTCTTGGGACGTTAGTCTTGGGACATTAGTCTTGGGCCATTGGTCTTGGGACGTTGGTCTTGGGCCATTGGTCTTGGGACATTAGTCTTGGGACGTTAGTCTTGGGACATTGGTCTCGGGACGTTAGTCTTGGGCCATTGGTCTTGGGACATTAGTCTTGGGACGTTGGTCTTGGGCCATTGGTCTTGGGACGTTAGTCTTGGGACATTAGTCTTGGGCCATTGGTCTTGGGACGTTGGTCTTGGGCCATTGGTCTTGGGACATTAGTCTTGGGACGTTAGTCTTGGGACATTGGTCTCGGGACGTTAGTCTTGGGACGTTGGTCTTGGGACGTTGGCCTAGGGACGTTGGTCTTGGGACATTGGTCTGAGGATACCAACAAGAAGTACTGGGACAACACTGAATAGTCTTGGGACGGTAAGGGAAAGTCTTGGAACAGCATTAGAAAGGGGGTACTACAAAAGTAATAGGTTAGGTTGAAGTAAACAATTATAACAACACGTTCCCTATCCTAACCTAACACGAAAGAGCTTACAGGAGTTTAAGAAAAATTGTTTTTAGCGAATTGTCAATTTCTTTTTCCTTAGAGTTTTTAACCTTAGAGTATAAATTTTGTAGATAATAATACTGTAAATAATAACAATTGTAAATAATGAGGCGGAGCAGGGTACCGGTAGCTGAAAAAAGATCTACCGAAGCAAAATATAATTCGTCGCTACGCAAAGCAACATCAATGGGTCCGAAGATAACAAAGAAGAGCTTTTCAGTTAACATGGTCAGCACAAGAAGAACAACGGAGAACAGAGCAAAAGAGGGCACAGAAGGGGAACGAGTAGAACCCACCATCGAGATTGATCTAGAGACACCCGATCAAAGTGTAGATGAAACAGGGAAAATTGCGACGGAGTCAACTCCAATGCCCAATGCAGAAGAACCAAACCCGAAACCCATAGAGTTCTCACCAATAGACAATGTGGAAGATGCAATAGGCAACACCGAAGAAACGGTGAAAGAAGACTCTCAAGTAAAAAAGACATCTTTTACAGAAAGGTTGGCGATGATGGTCGGAATAAAAACGAAAGAAAACATGACCGAAGAACCAAAAGCTGAAAGAGCACGAACATTTGGGACAGTGAGCACGAAGACGACAGAAGCCAATCCAAGAAAGGAACAAACTAAAGCAGAAGCTACGGCCAAAGACAGACCGACGGCTGACCATGAAGAGGCTACTATTGAGCTAGGTGACTTGATGGCGAAACTGAATCAGATCGACAAAAAACTGAAGTACAGCGAAGAGGACAGAGAGGTGATAAGAAAAGAATTAAGATACAACAAACACGAGTATCTGGATAGTTATTTTAACATGGCTAAGGCAACAGATGAGAGACTCAAGGAGTTGTCAGATAAGGTAGAAGCCACCAATGAAGAACGGGATAAGAACATCAAAAAAGATATGCAACAGTTGAAAAACCGATATGATGATGTCAACAGCCAATTAGGTAGCCTGGAAAAGAGAATGGACACAATGGGTAAGAATCAGGCCGAAAGTTCGTGTGCAATACAGGCGAAATTGGATGCAATCTTCAGAAATTCTACCTCACAAGAAAGACCGGCGGCGGATCGCACGCAAGGCACCAGAGTTGACTTTGTGGAACCACAAAGGAACAAACGGCAATCGACACCGTTGCCCTTAACCCGGGACACGGTGAGCATAGCACCAACAGCTACTAAAACGATCATGAAGAATGGAACGTCAAGTACAACGACTGGTCCGGGGGACTCAACAGCTAACAGCAACGCAGGTCCGGATGCTATGACATGGGCAAGCACTTGGGAGATGATAAATAGAACTCTAGAGGCCTTCGCCACGAGGAACACTGACTCGAATGAGAGAAGAGAGGGAAAATCCAGAAAAACATTCAAAAAGCCAAAAGAATTCAATGATGACTCTGATGGATGCATTGATACTTGGGTGGAAGTGATGAGACTACACCTAGAACAGGACAACTTGAACGATGAAAGACAAGCATGCACATCCATACTCAGCAATTTAGAAGGCACGGCATTAAAATGCGTGGTTGCGAAGAAAGAAGAAGAACGCGATAACGCGGACAAAATCTTTGAAATACTGTTGAATAGATTCGGCTCAGGCATGAAGGGTCATCAAGCGATGATGCGATTTGAAAAAAGGAGACAGAGAGATGACGAATCGATAGACAGGTTCCTAGATGATCTCGAGAGCTTGAGAAGAAGGAGTGACCCAGAAGAATCTACCAATAGAAGAAACTTCAGCATAGCCTCAAAGTTCATTGATGGGGTAAAGAGTGATGACTTGAGAACGATGTTAGCAACGTATTACACATTGTCGAAAGATAGTGCGCCAACTCCAGAAGAGATGAGGCAGAAGTCAAGAGAATACATGCTGATGAAACCCAAGAAATACTCGTACTCAGACAACAGGAACACCCAAGGGGGGAGTCAGCCACAAAGGTCGTCATGGTACAAGCCTAGAGATGACATGGACAAACGCAGGTCGTGTGCTAACTGCGGGTCAGTTGATCATCATGTGGCGGATTGCACGACATACAAACAGGGCATGAAGAGTTTGGGATATGCACCCGATGAGGACGATATGAGCCAGATGGAAGAACACGAGTTCTATAGTGGCTTGATCATCAAAATAGGTGCAAGATGCTTCTTCTGTAACCAAGAGGGGCACTTCAGGATGGACTGTCCGTTGTTCTGGGAAGCGGTCAAGAATCAGAGTCATCCAAAACACAAGTTGGCATTGGCAGCAGTGCAGAACCAGAGAAACAGACAAGGTGAATTTGAGACGAAAAAACTCGAGAGACCAAATGTAGAGCTACCAACAAAAACAGTGAAAGCTGTAACACAATGTGGTAGTGCAGCAGAGGCCACGGCGAAGAAAGCCCCAGAAATAGATTACGAGAAGGCGGCAGCGCAGGCCATCACAAAGTGAAGCAGGATCTGGCTGCGAAAGAAATAGAGCAACGACTAAAACTGGAGATCGAAAGAAAGAATTTTAACGAAGCATTAACCGGATCAAACCCAACACCAGAGGCCGTATCAGGCTCAACAAAGACCGGGAATTGTAACACTGTAAAAATGGTGACGGGAAAGCCATTCGGCATATCGAAAATCGGGGCTAGAATAATGTCGATAATCACAGTGGGCGGCCACGAGGTAACCAGAAACTTGAGCGAACCGAGCGACCAGACAATAATGCACATTGACGTATACGCAGATTACTTGAGTTGTATAAGCCCACAAACGACTTCTAGAGCGTTGAGAGCACTACTCACGAGAGGGGGCAGCAAGTCGGTACGTGTTGATAATAGGTATACTGAAGCTTATGGTCCACACGAGGTGATGCTAAATGTAGATGGGATCAACATCTATACCAGAACGATGATAACATGTGACGAAGACCTAATTGGGCAAATCTACGTAGGGAAAGAAGAGTTGAAAGTGAGATCGATTGGACACTGCGCCATGCTTGAAGAAGATGCAATGCACATCGGGACAGAGGCAGATGTGACAGGACACGTGCTAGACATAAGTGGCAAGAAGACTCAGTTACGTGGGTTACTTGACACGGGAGCGGTCTTGAGTGTCATACCAATCGAAACTTGGGAACGAATGGGCTTCAACGAAGATGACTTGATAGATTCGAGAATACGGTTGTCGGCTGCGAACAAGGGAGCCCTGCGCGTGTTAGGCAGAACGCCGATAATAGCGCTCAATCTGGGGGAACGTAACCTGTGGATGAGTTTTCTTGTAGTAGAAAACCTAGATGAGTCTGACCATTTCATTTTGGGGAGAGACTTCATCAGGAATTTCGACGTAACGATTGATCTAAATAACGCAATGTTCAGGATACGGAACCCGGATAGGAGGTACGCAATCAAACCGGTAAATTTAATAATGGCAAATGAAAACAAAGCACCGGTATTCTTGAGTAGGAGGGTGAGGCTAAAAGCTAATGAAGCGGCAATCGTAAGCTTGAGGATGAAAAATTACAATGAACTTAGTGATACCGATCACGATACAGAGAGGGAGGAAACTGGGATATGCTTTACCGGTTAAAACTCGATATGAAACGATTGAGAACTCAAAACAAAATGAAGTTGTTGATTGTCCCAATCACAGGGACAAAATTTGTATCTTGAGACGATTGCAGAAAATAAAAGATTCATCAGGTCTTATTAAATCACTTAAGTCAGAAACGGACGATGGGCTGTCGAGCTGTTCGAACTTTCCAGAGCGACCCGCACTAGATGAAATGCAGACTGATAAACCGGTGCTGCCGGAGATTGAACATTTGAGGGGCAAACTGAAAGATTAACAGCTCGAAGCCATCAAGGACGTACTAGAGCGGAACGAGGAAGTTTTTTCGAGGCATAAGGCGGATATCGGGTGTTGTAATTTTGTTGAGCATGAAATAGAATTAGAGGAAAACGCGGTACCACACAGGGAGGGGGCGAGGCGAATGACCCCACACAAATCGGACGCGTGTAGAAAAAAAATCGAAACGTTACTAGAGTATGACATGATAGAACCATCCAAGTCACCGTGGGCGTGTGGAGTAGTGATGGCCAAAAAGAAAGGCGACCAGTTAAGGTTTTGTTGTGACTTTCGATACCTGAACTCCGTCACGGTGAAGGATGCCTATCCCATACCTAGGATTGATGAGAGCCTCTCGAAGTTAGGTGATGCAAAATTTTTTACGACTCTTGATTTAGGCTCGGCCTTTTGGCAGGTACCACTACGGAAGCAGGACAGGGACAAGACAGGGTTTGCCTGCGAGTTGGGTCTGTTCCAATGGAAACGGATGCCGTTTGGACTTTGCAATGCCACAGCCACGTTTCAGCGATTGATGGCACACGCGCTGATAGGCGTGACAAAGAAGTATGGCAACCTGGTAATGTGCTACGTGGATGACGTGGTAATAGCAACGCCAACACTAGAAGACCACATTGAGAGACTTGACGAGGTGTTCGCGTGCATGAAAAGATCGGGGCTAAAGTGTAAACCATCAAAGTGCGAGATACTCAAGGACTCAATTAAATACTTGGGCAGGATGGTAGACAAGCACGGCATCAGACCTGATCCAGACGCCGTGGAGGCAGTCCTAACCTGGAAGTCACCAAAGACGGAACACCAGTTGATGAGCTTCCTGGATTCGCTAACTACTACAGAGAGTTCATCAAAGGCTACGCGGACAAGGTGTACCCGATGCAACAATTGATGAGGCACAAGGGCAAGAAGTTCACATGGAACAACGCAGCAGAGGAGTCATTCCAGAGGATAAAGAAAGAGCTATGTGAGGCACCAGTACTGGGGATGCCGACTGAGAAAGGGATGTACGTGCTGGACACGGATGCGTCGGTAGTTGCGATTTCAGGAATCCTCCATCAGGAACAAGAGTGGAATGGGAAAACAGTCTTGAGACCAATAGCTTACGGGAGCAAAGTCCTGAGTGACACGGAAATGAAGTACGGAGCACCGAAGGCAGAGATGTTCGCGGTGGTTACCTTTGTTGAGAAGTACAGGGCGTACCTGGGCAATGAGCCATTTAAGTTGCGAGTCGACAACCGAGCACTAAGCTGGCTGAAAACGTACTAGATGGACCAGAGTTACATCGGGAGGTGGATAGTTCGTCTAGACGGATACAATATGATAATTGAGCATAGAACACGAGACAAACATCAAAATGCCGACAGCTTGAGTAAGAAGACGGAGTTCTACGAGAGACAAGAACAAAGAGAGGCGGACAGACCTGAGATCAAAGATGGCTTCTCCTTCATGGACAAGGAAACGTACGACAGTCTTCCACTCACGAGATGGCTGGACAAATCAGGCAAACCGATTGAAGATCACCCGGAATTACCTAAAGAACATCCAGAAAAGACCATATTGAAGAAAAGCAGAAGGATTCCGATAGGAACAATGCTCAAGTCCAAGATCGTGAGGGAAACGCTCAAGGCAAAAGGTTATGACCTCAACCAGGTAGAGGCGGGAACTGCCCGAATAGGTGAAGACTTAATGAGGCTGCTTGAGAAACTATTGGATGACAAACCCGTGATCCAGGAGAAGGGTCAAGAGGAACCGGAAGTCACCATACTTCGGAAACAAGAGACAGTGAACAATACTGACTCCTCAACAGGGAGCGTGGCTGATAGCAAGGACGTCGCAGGGTCACTAGTTGACAAAATCCCCGAGGACATTCTGGAACAGACCAAGGTTAGGAAAAAGAAAGTGGCGTTCAAAGAAGAGGCTGAACACCTGGGACTAGATCAAGAGTCCGGGGAGTGGTCCAGATTCATGGAAGAAGAAGGAACCCGAGAAAGGAAATTGTCCGGGGAGCGTGAAGATTGGGATAAAGATTCGGATGAGAGCAGTGAAGACCAGGACAGTCTATGCATGATATTGGCGGAAGAGAAGATAAGACAACACGACAGGGAGTTACAGACGGATCCATCTTCAGGAACGTACAATCTGGACACACAAGAGGTACGAGGTGGTGAAGAACTTGAGAAAATTGCGGTTTCAAGAAAGCCATTCAGGGAACTATCGTGCAACTCAAACGTCAGAACAAATCTGGTACCAGAAGACGACATGAAAATCGTGAAAAGGATGATATGCGTGAAACTGAGTGATGACATCCACAACCCTTGTGAGATGAATGGACAGATCATGGCGCTAAAGGAGCATGTCAAGGCGAGATATAGGCTGTCAGACTTAATAAGAGCCCAGAAGAATGACAAAATGACAAGTAATCTCTCCAAATGGATCCAGTCGGGGGTCAAGGAGAAGGGGGAACTTGAGGAAGACAGCTACAAGATCTTGAGCCAGTTCTACAAAGAAAGGAAAGACTTACTTTATCACACAGCTGATGGGGTGGTAGCGTGCAAAAGGAGAGATGAGGAAAAGGTATTACACAAACACAACCTCATCATACTACCACAATTGTACCAAACGGAGGTGCTTTTCAGATCACACGACCAGATGGGCCACCAGGGGATAGATAAAGTACAACAAAGGATACTTCATAGGTTTGATTGGCCGGGAATGAGAAAAGCTTGCGAGAGATGGGTGAATGCCTGCCTAGCATGCCTTCAGGTAAAAGACCCAAGAAAGATGAAGTTTCCCCTCAAGTCTGTCGAGAGTTCGGAATTCAATGAAGTGGTGCAGATAGACCATCAGAAAATCTGCATGACGGAGTCGGGTTATAACCAAATACTGGTTATAATAGATCACTTCACAAAGTTGGCGGAAGCGGTTCCGTACCAGACAGCCTCAGCCGAGGAGACATGTGATCATCTGATAACGCATTGGATATCGCGGTATGGTTGTCCAATGACTTTCCAGTCGGACAACGGCAAAGCTTTTGTGGGGGACTTGACAAAAGAATTGATGAAGAGATCGCACATTGCTCAAGCACATTCGACGACCTATCATCCACAGACCAATGGGTTGGTAGAGAGACAGAACAGGACACTGGTCAACATGTTAAGGGTGTACTGCTCAAGATACATGACGGACTGGGACAAATACCTGCCACAGGTAGTAGGAGCCTATAACAGTACACAGCACTCAACGACGGGCATCAGTCCTTTCATGATGTTGACGGGCAGGGAGAGGGCAATGCCTCTAACATTCTTCTACCCAGAATACGAGGGGAAGAGGACGTCGCCTCAGGCATATGTGAAGGAAGCGATCAAAAGACAACAAGAGCTAAGCGAGCTATGCAGGAGGAACACGGCGCAAGCGCAAATGAGACAACGCAAGAAGTATGACAAAAAAATATTACAAGCAAAACCATATGAAGTGGGCCAGTACGTGTGGGTCTTCCAAAATGTCATACCGCCCAAGGGAACAAAGAAACTACTCAAGAAGTGGAGGGGAGCATTCATGATAACGGAAGTACATCAGCAAGGACGGTTCTACCGCTTGAGTACTGGGCGAGCAGCACATTACGAAAATCTGAAGCCTCACGTCCCGTCCCCGGAAGACTGGTGCCTACCGAAAGACATGGAGGGTCTCGAGTACCTGGTGGTAGAACCAGCGTGTGAAGTGAATGAGAAGGGCACCAGGGAGAAAAATGATGGCAATGAAAACTTGAGCTTGGACGACAATGAAAAGATAGAGGTGGAGTCTGAAGCAGGACCGTTTGCAGAAGAAGACTGGAACGACCCGGAGCAAGATGAGGTGCCGAAGTGGATGGAGCCGGATCGGCCAATATCACCGGGAACCAGAACTGGCAATCGTAAACGGACGGGTATGAGATACAACAGATATGGGGATGACTTCTTGATTGACAAGATACAGCCAGACAAATTGGGCGAGGAATTACTGAGTGCAGGCGAACTGGAAGCCGAAGAGGAATGGCAGGTCATTGATGATGGAGGACACTATCCGCAGGAAGATTACTCGACACCAGAAATGGACACGGACCTCGAACAGAGCGAGATAGAGAGGAGGGAGAACACGAACTTGAGGATACTAGAGTGGATACGCGACGTCAAAGACGAAGGCCATGGAGGACAAAGTATCCAGCAAGTTGACGTGTCAGCGGAAAAACACATGAAGTCAAAAGACCCTCTCTTCGGCTGGGCGGCGACAGACAGGCCGCTGGACATTCCACCGGACAATTTAGACCCGACAACATCGACGGGGACGTCGATAAATATTTTTGTCCGGGGAGTGGGGGTAGGACTTACCCACACCGAAAATTTGATGATAAAGAAGCTCAAGGAAGTGAGAGAAACCAGCGAATTGGAGCTGGAAGAAGAGGAGCCAGAGCCTAACATAGACCGGAATTTCAAAACGAAATTTGAAATACCCAATCAGTACTCGGAAAACATCATGATAACAGATAGTGACTTCATCCTGTCAAACAGAACGAGCGCGATCTGCATCACGGCAGACATGAGTTTCAAATCAAGACTGGAGGCTGACTTCAAGAGAGAATACCAGAACGTAGAGTTTCTGTTCAGACAGAGACCAGGACTGGGAGGGATGGCAGCGCTCCCACAATCAGTAGCACAAGTCCCGGGGAAATACCTGTGCTTCTTAGTGACGAGGGTCAATGACAGGAACACAATTGATCCCGAACACGTAATGTTGGCACTAACAAGACTACGAGACTTCATGATTGAAAGAGGGATAACAGAGGTCTCAATGCCGGTTTATGACCCAAACAGGGGCA